GATGTAAAAGTCTGAGTTCTCCAAGGTAAAAAAGCCTCAGGAATGTTAGGTCACCCAGGAAACACTCTGGGTCCCAGAGAAAAATCGAACGTACCACCTGACCCAGTTATAACTGCTACGCGAGGCGAAGGTTTAAGTGAACACTACGTATTTCCTTACTCGCCCCTTCCCACAGCCCACGTTGGGGAGAGCCACCTGACTGGGCCAGCCACGGCTACGTCACAGCAATTCAATATCCACCAGGCTGAAAAGCTCAGGGTAGAAGCAGATCAGGTGCAGCCAGTGTCTGGTCCAGTCCAAGTGCTCCACGGGCCTGCGGGGACACGATTGGCTCCACAGCCCTGTTAGAGTTCTGGCTCCTTCCTGGCTGGTCAAGGCCACCCCAGGGCTCTTGCACAGAACTGCAGAGCAACATGACAGGGCAGGGAAAACTCCTGGGCTGCGGAGTCTGATAGACCCGTGCTCCAATACTCACCCTACTGCTGATCAGCTGAACGACTGTGGGTGTGGCACTTCCTTTCCTGGAGCCTCAGCCTCCTTGTCCGTGAAATGGGCATGGTACCACCTGCTTCGCAGCGCCCAGCACAGTTCCTGACACTTGGCAAGTGGCCATCGCACCCGCCTCCAGGTCCACTAAGGAACATATTGACTCTTTGCCCCTGGGACCCTGGAAATGATCCAAACCGCTGATGCCATTTCTAATGGGCCTGGGCTCCACAGAAGTCACAGGGAGTCACACCAGTTAGGGCTCACGACCGAAGCCCCACATATATGGAAGACCTTGTTGCTAGTCTATGTTCACTCACCATCAACGGCACACACCAGCCTAGATGGGTCAGTGGGCCTCTCAATCTGCCCACCAAAGATACGAACCTTATTCCAGCCCTGCCCCCTTCCTCCTACTTCACTTACAAAACCGAGGGGAACGTGTGCCTCCCTGACCTCCCAGTCTCCAACTGCAGGCACCTTCAGGTCCTCTCCGCCTGTCCCTGACTCCTCTTCAAGCCTCTTCCTCCCCCTGAATTACTTCCTCTGGTGGCAGGACACATTTGTCCCCCAAACCTAACCAGGCACCGAATTCTGCCAGTTGCACATTGGTGATATATCTCCTTCTCCCCCATGTCTCTGCCATTATCCTGGTTCAGGTCCCTGTTATCTCTTGCCTAGACAGACTCCCAAATGGTCTCCCTGCCACATGATTATTTCAAACCCAGTCTCTCCAAACCCAACCAGGCCTTTTCCCTTCAAATCACTCCTCTGCCTTCTGTTTCCTCTTCTCTGAATCTTCCCTCCAGTAGAGATGTCTCTTTGATGGGTGGCTGGATCTAGTCACTCGAGCCCCCTTCTGGCCCACCCTCCCTCCCCCAAGTAAACATGGAGTGCCAACCATGTGCCAGGCACAGAGCAAGGTACTGGGTGTATGAAATAAAAGAATAGTCCCAGTCCCGGCCCTCATGTTCAGGCCATTACCAGGCCACCTCATACCACAAAAGCGTCTTGACCAGTCCATCCATCCTTAAATCTCCCCCAGAAAAACAAACTTCCAAGATCACCTCTTGACTGTATCCAGAAACCCTCTACCACCTGACCCTGACATACTTTTCTAGACTTATCTCCAAGTTCACCTTCTCATCTCTCTCTGCCTGCCCAAACCAGTCCACTCAGGCTTCCAGACCTCTTTGTCTCTCCTCTCTAATTCACCCGGGCCACTGGCAGCACCTGAAAATTTCTGCCCATGCCTCTTTGATCACAACAACTGGTACAGACACCAGCTCTTTTTTTTTTTTGTAAAGATTTTATTTATTTATTTGACAGTGAGAGACACAGCGAGAGAGGGAACACAAGCAGGGGGAGTGGGAGAGGGAGAAGCAGGCTTCCCAACAAGCAGGGAGCCCACTGAGGGGCTTGATCCCAGGACCCCAGGATCATGACCTGAGCCAAAGGCAGACGCCCAACGACTGAGCCACCCAGGCGCCCCCAGACACCAGCTCTTTCATCAAACACAAAAACCGAGCACTGGACAATCCTTGCTTTCAACACTCGCAATGCTGTCATGACCCACTGCTTCACCCTTTTGCTACTTCATCTCATACATCTACATAGATCTCTTCTCCCCTCCTCAGGTTGGAAGTTCCTCAAGGAGGCAGTTTTTTCCCCTTCTTCCTGTTTCCCAACAAGCAGTCACGTTTCATGTTTTCAACCTATGAAAGTGTGACCATCGACTTGGCCAAAGCACACGGAGGCCCTGGGTCAAGTGGGACCGACAGTGATCATAAAAGTGAGTGCCCCCAACACGTACGGACATGGAAAATGCCTTCTGTCCCCTCCCTGCTTCACAGTATATCCACTGCATGCTTTCCTGTCTGTGTCCATATTTCAAACTGCTCCTTCTCTTGCCTTCCCTGTTTCTCTTACTGACCTATCCTTCTACTGGTCACTCAGGCAGACCCAGAATCATCCACTGCTGTCCTTTCTTGCTCACTCACATCCCACATCTAAATACCCACAGAGTCCTGCGTCTCTTACCCCCCAACCATGTCTCAAACCCATCCCCCCTCTTTCTCTACCACTACAGCTCTGGGTCGCATCTGCAGCTTTTCCTACATAGAGCAAAGCAATCACCTTCTAACTGGTTTGCTGGCCTTCAGCACTGTCTCCCTCCAACTCTGCCTCCTTCACTGCATGGACTAAAATTATCCCTGGCCTGGCCTACAGGAAAACACCCTCTGCACACCAGCCGCAGCAGTCCTCTTGCCACTACCTGCCCCTGAAGGACCAGACCCCAAGTGGTTTCCAGAACAAACCAAGATGTTCCCACTTCCATGCTTTTGCAGATGCTGTTCCTGCATCCTGCAAAGCTGTTCCCTGTGGTCTGTACCTGGCTAACTCCAGCTGCCCCCCCATGCTTGGCCTCCTCCAGGAAGCATTCTGTGATCTCCTTTGCCCAGCAAGCCTAGGTGAACAATCTTCTTTTCTGTGCTTCCACATCAGTCAGTGCATAACTCTCACCACACTTGTGGCTAAAACAGTCTGCCCACACTGTAATCACCACTGCCTCTAAGAGCCTAGCAGCGGGGCAGGGAGAGTTGGTTAAAGGAGGGAAGCCAGACTCACTTCCCTTCTGTAGGCTGCTTTCCTCTGGTCTTCCCCTGACTTACACACTTGGGTCAGCCTCGCTGCTTCATTATTGCCACCTAGGGGCAAAAGGCGGCAACCGCACTTTCCTCACCATTCAGCATTTAATTTGACTCTATTGAAAGGGATGGGAACCCAAGCTAGGGAACAGTTAGTTGATTCCAGGGCGGGTAAAGGGAGAGTGGCAATCAGAGGCGGCTTCGAATGGGGAGTGAGCTCTGAGCTGGGCCTCGCAGCATGAGGAAAGGATCTCTAGGTGGAGGAGAACTGGGAGGCAGTGGGACAACAGGCAGAGAAAGGGCGGGAGTTTTAGGTCCAGGTGCGGGTGAAATGCAAACGGGAGGGAGGGTCAGGAGGTGCAAGACCTGGCATCCCAAGCTTTAACTTTTAAGTCACCTAAAGAGGTGAAAAAAATTAAAATTCTTTCCACTCAGAAAACTTTTAATCAGGAGTGATGATCAGATCTGCATTTTAAAAAAGACAACTTTTGCTGGAGTATGAAAGCACAGAGATGGGAAGCAGGGAGTGAAAGAAGCAATAAAGCAAACAGCAAAAAGAGTTATTTTCATAATTCTCTCATTTTCCACTTGCTGCAGCATGACCTCAGACTCAACACATCCAAACCGAAACTCTGCCTCCTCCAAAACCAGTGCTTCAACATAAACATTATTTATTTCCACATTTTGAGATGTTCATATTCCCAGCCTCTTTGTGGACCCTGAAGTGACAAAATTTTATAACAGATCCCAGCACAAAGCTTTGCACACAGAAGACGTTCAATGACAACTGAATGGAATTCCTCTTGGGATCCCCTGGACACCTGTGATCATAAGAGCAGTAAAATCTCATGGTTAAGAGTAAGGATTTTGAGTCAGAGGGCCTGAGTTCACAACCCGCCTCAGCCACCTTACGGTGCGAGACCGGTCGTAACAAGTGACCCATCTAAGCCTTGGTTTGTTTGTCCTGAAGATGGAAATTACAACAGCACCTATGTCAAGGGCTGGAGATAAAGATCAGATCTGTAAAGGGACAAGCCCATAGTAAATCCTCACTAAACACTGGTGATTATCTGTAACATTATCTATTCAGTGCTTACCAGGCTCAGGCCATCGCTAGGGCTTCCCACACCCTTAAATCTGCACAGCAATTTTTCCATTCCATTTTACAGATAAGAAAACTAAGGCTGCCACAGGTGAATTTGTACAAGTTCTTGGGAGCCTTGGATCCCGACGCATCAGAGATGTGGCTGGAGGAACTTTTAGTAAAAGATCATTTAGTCCAGTGGTGGTTCTCATGTGTGTGATACTTTTGGCAATATCTGAAGACATTTTTGATCTTCACAACTGGGGGCGGGGGGGGGGGGTTGGAAAGGGAAGAGATGCTGCTGGCATCTAGTGGGATGCTACTCGACATCCTACAATACACAGGCCATCCTCCCCACACCCACCCCAACCAAGCGTGATCAGACCCAAAATGTCAGTAGTGACCAGGTTGTGAAATCCTTCTCCAGTAGGACCATCCTTCCCATTTTCCCACTTCTGGAGCCCTGACCATACAGATCCCACATACTTTTGGTAAGGGGGGGGGCCTCTGTCCCTCCAGGGGCAGAGCATTCAAAAGTTCTCCACCTGCCCTGCACACAGTAGGTATCAGAACCCATTTTAATAAGCCTAGCAGCAGAGGAGACCGGAAAAGGAAAAGCATCCATCCCCCATTGTTCAATTGCGTGCAGGTTGTGTTTTCAACACACACACACACACACACACACACACATTTTACAAATCCCAACGTCCCACGCCCCAAAAACAGCTTTGTTAGAGATGGCGTTCAAATAATCTATATTTTTCTAGGACTCCCATACATACCGAAAGGTATGCACACTTCTAAAAGGACCTCAGATCGGCCGCGTCTTCTGACAACGACTACAAAAGAATCTGTAGGATTTCCCCGGGGAACGAGCCCGTGGGCCGTGACCTCTGCGCGCCGAAGGCGCTCACCCCACTCCCTCGCCTCTGGCTTCGCTCTCCCGCCCCCGGCTCCTCGGCTCCCAGTACTGCTGGGGCGCCGGCCGCGAAGCCCGGCCGCCAGGCGCGTGCCCACGCCGTGTCCCCCTCGCCCGCCCCTCGCGGCGGCTGAGGAATCCGGCCCGGGGCCTGACGCCGGCGCCCACACCGGCCGGCCCCCGCCCGCCCGCCACGGCCCGCGCGCGTCCCCTCCCGGCCCGGTGCGGCCTGGGCCTCGGCCGGTGCAGGCCCGCGGGCGCCCGCGGCCGGGCCAGGCGAGCTCAGGCCTGCCGCGGCCTACCCCGTCGGGTGCCGCCGAAGGCCCCCGCCTCACCTGAACGCGAGCGGGCGGGCCCGGGGCTGCTCCGGGGCGGGCGGGCGGCGGCGGCGCGGCGCTAACGGCTCCGCTCGGCCTCGGTAGCGGCGGCGGCGGCAGCGGCGACGGCGACGGCGGCGGCGGCTCCTCCTCAGCGCGCACGACCCGCTCCGGCCCGCGGCCCGGACACGCCCCCCCGGCGCGCGCGCCCATTGGCCGGCGTCCGCCACGGTGCGCTTCTCATTGGCCGACGTGCCTGTCTCGGCGCCCCGGGGCGCGCGGCGGAGGCGGGACTTCCGGCCGGCGCCGCCTGCGAAGGGCTCGGCGGTCGGCGGAGACGCGGGTGGCCGGCGATGGCCGCGGAGGGGGCCAGCTATGGCCCGGCCCACGGAGGCCGACGGAAGGCGGTGGCCGAAGAGCCGCGCCCCTTGCCGAGCGCATGCTGTGTGCCTCGCGCCTGTCTTTCCCGCCGCCGCCGCCGCCTCCCTGCCAGGTAGGAATGGTCAGCGCGCCAGGGCTGTGGGGACAGGACCCGGGTTCGAATCCCGACCCCGACGTTTCCGCACTACGTGCCGTTAGGAAGTGGCTGACGTCACCTCGTGGGGCCTCAGTTTCCTTATCTGGTGTGGTGAGGAGGTGGAGCATGGGACGTGGTCTGCCTTCTATCAGTGTTGACTGTTGGAGCTAGCGGGTTCCCGGAGGCGCAGCCTAGCAGTCATTAAAATTTTATTGAGCGTCTACTATATGCCAGTCACTTGTATTGGGCAGCGAATGGACAAAAATGTTAGTCACAAGTGTTAGGTGCATATTAAATTTTCTAGGAGCTGTGTTAAAGGAAAGGAAAGTTAAAAAAACAAAAACAAAAACAAACAGGTGATGTTACTATTAATGATGTGTTTCATTTAACAACGTGTCCAAAATGTTATTTCTACGTGTAATCACTATAAGAGGTTATGAGATTTTTTATATCCTCTGCCCCCACCCCCCACTCCTCTGAAATCTGGTATGTCTTACGCGGGGCCATCTCAAAGTGGACTGGCTACATTTCAAGAGCTCAGCAACCGCGCGGCTACTGCTTTGGACCTGCAGGGCTAGGTGGGGAGGCAGAAGAGACATCCAGTGGATTTCCCATCAAGTGGCGGAAAGGGGTAAGAAGAAAAGTAAATGGGAGAAAGGGTATGGGGAATGTGGGGGGATGGCAGTTTGAAAGAGGGAGGTAGGGAAGGTTGAGAAGATGGCATTTGCAGAAGGAATTGAGCAAGTAATTATGCCATTCGTTGTTTAATGCCGTGTTTGTCTGGTCGGACTTCCTGCAGTGATGGGCATGTTCTTTATCATCACTGTCTAATTTAGTAGGCACTCGCTCCACGTGGCTTTTGGGCACTTGACATGTGGCTGGTGCCACAGAAGAACTGAATTTTTAATGTCCTTAATTTTTACTTAATTTAAATTTAGTCACCTAGAGCTTGTGGCTCCCATAGTGGATGGCATAGATTTAGTAGAATGGTGGACAGTGCTCTGAATCCAGTGTGTACTTCATGCTAAATACTTTATGTGTGATCCTCACAGTAGCTCTGAGAGAGGAGCTATAATCGTCGTCATGGTGAAGAATGAGGTCCTTCATGTATTCATCTATACTTTGTTTTTGTTCTCATTAATAGACTTTGTCTTCTGGAGCAGTTTGAGATTTACAGAAATATTTGAAAGAAAGTACAGAGTTACCGTTTTCCCCACACCCAGTTTCTCCTATTAGTAACATATTTCATTAGCATGATACATTTGTAATAATTAATGAATCAAAATTGATACATTATGAACCAAAGTTCATAGTTTATTTAGATTTCCTTTGTTTTTACTTAATGTCCTTCTTCCCTTCCAGAATCCCATGCAGGATGCCACATTACTTTTAGTTGTCCTGGTTCTCTCTCTCTGTCTCTCTCTCTCTTTTTTTTTTTCTTTTTTTTGAGATATAATTGACATGTAACACATGCTAGTTTTCGATGTACAGCATAATGATTTAATATGTGTATATGTTGTAAGATAATTAGTGCAATAAGTTTAGTTAACACCTATCAGCACCCATAATTATAAATATTTTGTTGTTGTTGTGTTGAGAATTTTTAAGATTCACTCATTTAGTTGTCCTATTTCTTTAGGTGCCTCTCGGCTGTGGTGGGTTCTCAGACTTTTCTTGTTTTTGATGACCTTAATGGTTTTGAGAAGAAATGATCAGGTATTTTGTAGAGTACCCCTCTTTTGGAATCTGTCTGGTGTTTTTCTTTTTTTTTCTTTTCTTTTTTTTAAAGATTTTATTTATTTATCTGAGAGAATGGGAGACAGAGAGCATGAGAGGGAGGAGGGTCAGAGGGAGAAGCAGACCCCCCGCCGAGCAGGGAGCCCGATGCGGGACTCGATCCCGGGACTCCAGAATCATGACCTGAGCCGAAGGCAGTCGCTTAACCAACTGAGCCACCCAGGCGCCCCTTTTCTTTTCTTTTTTAAATTTATTTGACAGAGCGAGACACAGTGAGAGAGGGAACACAGCAGGGGGAGGGGGAGAGGGAGAAGCAATGCTTCCCGCAGAGCAGGGAGCCCGATGCGGGGCTCCATCCCAGGACCCTGGGATCATGACCTGAGCCGAAGGCAGACACTTAACGACTGAGCCACCCAGGCGCCCCAAGTCTGGTGTTTTTCTTGTGATAAGACTGGGATGATGGGTCTGGGGGGAGGAAGAACCCCAGAGGTAAAGTGTGACTCTCATCACCTCCTGTCAAGGGTACATACTGCCAACATTATCTATACCTGTTGATGTTGACCTTGATTGCAGGCTGAGGTAGCATTTGTCAGGTTTCTCCACTATAAAGTTACTTGCCCCCCCCCCTTTCTATATTGTATACTTTGGAAGGAAATCATTATGTGCAGCACGCACCTAAAGAATGAGATATGTTCCTTACATGAGATGTCTGTGTAAATTATGTGGAATTCTTCTGCATGGGAGATTTCTGTCCTCTTCCTAATTTATTGGTTTACCCATCATTTAATTATAACAGTGTGGCTGCTGGATATTTATTTCATCCTCTGCTTTATAATCCAATACGACTTTATTTTGTTGTTCGAATTGTTCCAGCTTTGGCCATTGGGAGCTCTTTCAGTTGGCTCCTGCCACCCTTTGACACACTCCCATCAGTGTGTTTGGTTTGGGGGTTTTTGGTTTTCTTGGGGATACTTCCTTACTTCTGGTACTACAAGATGCTCTGGGCTCATCTCATATATTTCCTGCCCCAGTCCTAGAATCAGCCATTTCTCCCCACCTGGTTTCTTTTATTAGAGAGTGGTGTTAGAAACCAAGATCTGGGCACTCGGAGTGCTTGTTGCTACTGGGGTGTTGTTTCTTTTAGGTCATCAATACTTTTTAATCAGCCCCAGTGTGCCCGATGCAGGGGCTCCGCCCTGGGGATACAACAGCGACTGTGCCAGAGGGGGAATCTGCCCTCACAGAAGTCACAGTCAACCTGTGGGAACAGGCTTAAGAGAGCAACTCCAATATTGACGAGGTGTGCAACCTTGGGTAAGTTTTTTTAATCTCTCTAAACTTCAGCCTCCCCATCCGCGAAATGGGGGTGATTATAGTACTTCATGAGGGCACTGGGAAAATTAAATGAACTCAAGTACTCTTAGAACCTTTGGAACAGTGTGGCGTGAAGTGCTTATTAAATCTGATTCTTGTTCATAGTGATCAGAAATCACACAATTACGATCATTATAAAATAATTAAAATTTGCAGAGGTTCAGAGTGCCAGAAAAGCATGTAGCAGGAGAACCTCATTTTGAGGTGGCCAGGAAGGCTTCCCAAGTCAGTGGGGTTGCAGCTGAGGCAGGAAGGGTAAGTCACTAGGCAAGGGGGAGGGGCAGAATGTTTCAGGCAGAAAGAACAGGAAGTGCAAAGACCCTGAGGCAGGCAGGAGCCTGGCACACTTAGGGACTGAGAAAAGGCCAGTGGTGGAGACGGGCAGGAGAGAAAACTCATGGGATTGGAAGGGGCAAATCACACAGGGCCTGGGGGGCCATGGCGAATTGAGACTCGGTCTTAAGAGCAAGAGAGGTGTGCTCGTTTCGGCAGCACATATACTAAAATTGGAACAATACAGAGAAGATTACCATGGCCCCTATGCAAGGATGACACGCAAATTTGTGAAGCGTTCCATATTAAAAAAAAAAAGAGCAAGGGAGGGGACTTGTCCAAGGGCACAGGTCTAGTAAGGACAATCAGGATCGGAACCCAGGTCCGTTTAGTCTCAGAGATCTTTATTTTCTTGGTCTGAATTGGAGAGAGGAAGTTCTTGATTGGGGGCGGGGGATTGTTTTGTTTTTGTTTTTGGTAAGAAGCATAGTTTTAGTTCTTAGGGGTCAGAATCTGAGTACACGCCAGCCACCGAAATTCTACGTTGTTCTTGCCGTCCCTCTAAGTACCATCTCTGAGGGCCTGTGAGGTCAGGAGACACAAAGCTGGCTTAGCCTGCATTCCCGCCCTTGAGCACATCACTGCCCGAGGGAGAGGAGGATGCATATACACGTAAATCCAGCGGGGGTGACAAGGGATAGGCACAGAGCACCGCTTCTCATGGAGCACAGTGTCTAAGCCGAAATATAGTGGGAGCAGGTGCGAGGTGGGGCTTCTGGATGGAGGAGCCCGGAGGAGTGCAGGCACGGATTTGTCCCAGGGGATCTGGTAGGAAACAGGAACCATCAGGAGCACTGGATGCAGATTGTGAGGTGGGACTGGGGAGTCTGTCTCCAGCCTCAAAGGGCCCTGGAAAGTCAGGCAGAGAAGTTGGGATTTTATCCCGTTGACCAGGAGCCGGCAAATTACAGCTTGATTCAGCCCACACTTGTATTTGGACAGCCTGTGAGTAACAGTGAGGTTTACTCTTTTTTTTTTTCTTGAAGCGAAAGAGAGCATGAGTGCACAAGGGGGTGGGGAAGGGTGAGGGAGAGGGAGAGAGAGTCCCAAACAGGCTCCATGTCCAGTGCGGTGCCCGTCACGGGGCACGATCTCCCGTCCCTGAGATCTTGACCTGAGCCGAAACCAAGAGTCAGAAGCTTAACCGACTGAGCCATCCGGGCACCCTGGATGTTTACATTTTTAAGTAGTTGAAAAAATAACAAAAGAGGAGCGCCTGGCTGGCTCAGTAGGTGGAGCACGTGACTCTTGATCTCAGGGTCCTGAGTTCAAACCCCACGTTGGGCGTGGAGCTTCCTTAAAACAAAAAAGCAAAAGCAGAATAGCGTCTTGTGACCTGCGAAAGTTATAGTTTAGGTGTCCCGCCAAGTTTGCTAGTGACACAGCGTCACCTGTCGTCTGCATATGGTCCTTTGGTGGCTTTCCAAGCCATGGCAGCAGCAGCAGACGGCTCCCAGGCAGGGCCCGCTTCCTGGCCGTGCATGCTGTGGTCTCACCGGGCCCTGCTCTTTTGTCACCATTTTGAAATTCTCAATAATCTGTGAATGAGGGGCCCCTCATTTTTATCTTGCATCAGGGTCCTGAAAATTACATAGCCAGGCCTGGTGACAGAGACCATATGGCCCACAAAGCCTACGGTATTTACTATCGGGCCCTTTTCAGAGAAAGTATGTGAATCCTGTTACGGTGGACCGAACAGCAGCCCCTCCAAGATGTCCATGACCTTGTCTCCTGGTACCTCCAGCTGCATGACCTTACCTGGCGGAGGGGATTCTACAGATGGTATTAAGTTAAGGATCCAGAGAGGGGGAGATGATCACGGATGATCCGAATGGGACGCGTAATCACAAGGTTCTTATAGAAGGAGGGCAGGAGGATCAGAGGCAGAGGAGATGTGATGACGGAGCAGAGGCCGGTGATCCTGTTGCTGGCTGTGCAGGTGGAGGAGGGGCCATGAGCCACAGGATGCAGGCAGCTTCTAGAAGCTGGAAAAGGCCCAGAAACAGATTTCCTCCTAGCACTCCCAGAAGGGCTGCAGCCCAGCTGACACCTTAATTTTAGCCTCGTAAGACTGCTTTCACATTTCTGACCTCCGGGGCTCTAAAAGAATAAATGTATGTTGTTTTAGGCCACCGAGGGGGCAGTCACTTGTCACAATGGCCGCAGGGAATTGATACACCTGTCCTAGGCAACGAGCATGTAAAAGAATTTGTTTTGTAGCCAAAGAGAATTTTAGATGAGAGACTGACTTTGCTTGCTTGCTTGCTTATTTATTTATTTATTTATTTATTTATTTGAGGGAAGGGAACCAGAGGCAAGGGTGGACAGCCTGGGGCAGGGGCTGGGGGACTGGGTCTGGAGAGGAGGATTCCAGAAATTGATGAGGTGGGATCAGTAAACTGGTCGGTGACCAGTCAGATGTGGAAAGGAGGTGCCCTGATTCATTAGACCCAGTGACGTGGAGGGGGAAGCTGTGACGTCTGAACCATTTCCAGGGCTCCGAATACAGGTGGGGGCTATTTTGGGGCCACAAGAAACGGGTTTCACTGTCAGGTGTTCACCGCCTCCCAAACAGAGCTGAGGCATCAAAGCAGATGCTCGTTGGGAGGACGGAAGCCAGGCGGGCCTGGACAAGCCCAAAGAGTGTTCTGGCACTCAACACGCTCTACAGCTGCAATCTGATTCCATCCCAAGTGCCCAATAGGTCAGTGTCAAGAACAGGAAGCTTTATTTATTTTTCCTTAGGCAGCAGCATGTATTTTCAGGTTAGCCACAGTTTGGAGGTCATGTCCATGTGCCAAGGGGACTGGCCCCTTCCAGGTGTGGGTCACCTTGGTTCCTATGTGTGCACATTTCTGCCCCAAAGAACCCGGCCCCGGAGGAGGCACAGAAATGCAGGGCTTTCTTTTAGGCACCGCTCTGCTCATCACGTCCCTGCGCCTCCGTTTGCTTATTTGTGAAAGCAGGTGGCACCACCACCTCAGGGACACACAGAAAGCAGGCGCCGAGCAGAGCGTCTAATATGGTTAACACCCAGAGAGCAGGAAGGGCTCCGCTTTTTTTTTTTTTTTTTTTTTTAAGTCGGCTCCATGCCCAGCGTGGAGCCCAACTCGGGGCCTCTAACTCACAACCCTGAGATCGAGACCTGAGCTGAGATCAAGAGTCCGTCGCTTCACCTACTGAGCCACCCAGGCGCCCAGTCCGCTTCTTGTCTTAAAACCTCGGCTCCTGGAATACCACCACCTGAGATAACGTGGGTCACTGACCTGGACAAGTGTGGCAAATTTTGCTTTCCAGAATGATCTTTCTGCAACTGACCCATAACCATTCCACTGCACTATCTTCCTGGCAAGAACAGCACTGGGTGTTTTATCTCTCCTGAGATCAAAGGTTAGGAAAGGCCCTGCAGCTCTGGTTCCTGGGGTCATGGCGTGGCCTGGCTTTCCCTGCTGTCCTGGAGGGTTATCCATAGCAATCACTTTTTTTTTTTTTTTTAAGATTTTATTTATTTATTTGACAGAGAGAGACACAGCGAGAGAGGGAACACAAGCAGGGGGAGTGGGAGACGGAGAAGCAGGCTTCCCGCCAAGTAGGGAGCCTGATGTGGGGCTCGATCCCAGGACCCCGGGATCATGACCTGAGCCGAAGGCAGATGCTTAACGACGGAGTCACCCAGGCGCCCCGATAGCAATCGCTTTCACTTCCAGGTGTTCTCACTCGGTCACCGTCAGTCCAACGCTGACTCTGTAGCAGCCTCTATCACTTTTAGTTTTCGTTTTTAAGATTTCTGATGTTTCCTTTTCATGGTGTACAAGTTCTCTTTCTTGCTTGGCTCGTATGTTTCCCATGTATTTGCGGGGCTTTCTGCAGTGCTGTTTTTTAAAAGTTTTTTTTTTTTTTAAGTGAAAATTCAGGGGTTTCTAATATGTTCACAGAGTTGTGCAAACATCACCACTGTCTCATTCCAGAACATTTCTTTACCCCAAAATGAAAGAAACCCATGCCTGTTAGCAGTCACTCCTCAGCCTCTGGTGACCACGAATCTATTTCCTGACCCCATGGATTTGCCTGTTCTGGTCACTTCATGTAAATGGAATCATGTCACATATGGCCTTTAGTGTTTGAGCATCCTGTCATCGAGGTCCATCCACGCTGGAGTATGAATTGGTACTTCATGGCTGAGTAATATTCCACCGTGCGGCAACACCACATTTTCTTTATCCATTCATCACGTGATGGACATGGGGGCTTTTCCCACTTCTTGGCAATTGTGAATAAGGCTGCTGTGAACATTCACGGACAAGTTTTTATATGAACGTATGTTTTCCTTTCTCTTGGGTCAATACCTAGGAGTGGGATAGCTGGGTCCTATGGTAACTCTACGTTTAATGTTTTGAGAAACCACCGAACTGTTTTCCAATCTTTTCTTTATAAATGAGGTGGAGGCTTCATGCTTGTCGGTCATTAGCAGGTAGTCAACTTGTGGCAACACGTCTCTAGCCTGGTTCTTCATCCGGCGACTCACAGGAAGCAGGCCCGGGACTCACGTGTATGCCGTGGCCTGCGTGCAAGGTGCCTCCCACCAGCCCCTGATGTGCTGGGGCAGGAGCTCCGAGGACGTGTGTTTCCATTACTGGGTCCTAACCCCCACCCCCACAATACCCACATTCCCATATCACAAAATCTTCAAACCTCCCAGACCCCCAGACAACATATCCAAAAGCACACATTTCTCACAGCGCTGCATGCCCATGTGCAGTCGAGAGCAGGTTGTGTGATAGGAACAAGCCAGGTGTTATCAGTCTGTTAAGAGCTCATGCAAATTGGTAAGAACCAAAGGAGCAAAGGTAAGAAGCAGTTCGGGGGGCAGTCAGCAAACCTCAGACCGGGTCTGCCAAGGGGCCCAAGGGTAAGGACCCAAGGTGTCGATCATTCTGGCCCTGCCAGGACCCCCAGCACCGGCTTTCCCCGGGGGCGGCAGCCAAGTGAAGCTGGAAAGACACCCATTGGAAGCTACCTGCCCAGCGTAGGAAAAGGTTCATGTTCTGCCCCTGTGGTCGTAGCACTGACAGTCATCCTGAGCCACCAAGGAAGGGCTGTTGGCCAGAGGACGTTTCTTCTGGTCTCCAGTGGGTTACCTTTGGCTTGGCACTGATCCAAATGCCCAGAGATGACACTGGCTTAATGAATTGCACTTCTGCTAGAAAAGACGGGTAGAGGCCTGCAACCATGTGGAGTAAGAGTGGCTCC